TGGCCAGGGAAGCGGACGGGGCCAGGGCATCGGCCAGGGAAGCGGCTGTAGCCAGGGAAGCGGACGGGCCAGGGCATCAGCCAGGGAAGCGGTTCTGGCCAAGGAAGCGACCAGGGCCAGGGAAGGGGTTCTGGCCAGGGAAGCAGACAGGGCAGTGGTTAAGGTAGCGGTTCTGGCCAGGAAAGAGGACCGGGACAGAGAAGCGGCCAGGGAAGGAGTTCTGGCCAGGGAAGCGGACAGGGCCAGGGCATCGGTCAGGGAAGCGGTTATGGTCAGGGAAGCGGGCAGGACTAAGCAAGCGGCCAGGGAAGCAGTTCTGGTCAAGGCAGTGGTTCTGGCCAGGGCATCAGCCAGGGAAGCGGTTCTGGCCAGACAAGCGGTTCTGGCCCGGGCATCGGCCAGGGAAGCGGAGGGCATCGGCCAGGGAAGCGGTTCTGGCCAAGGAAGCGACCAGGGCCAGGGAAGGGGTTCTGGCCAGGGAAGCGGACAGGGCCAGGGAAGCGGCCAGGGCATCGGTCAGGGAAACGGTTATGGTCAGGGAAGCGACCAGGGAAGCAGTTCTGGCTAGGGAAGCAGACAGGGCAGTGGTTAAGGTAGCAGTTCTGGCCAGGAAAGAGGACCGGGACAGAAGCGGCCAGGGAAGGAGTTCTGGCCAGGGAAGCGGACAGGGCCAGGGCATCGGTCAGGGAAGCGGGTATGGTCAGGGAAGCGGGCAGGGCTAAGCAAGCGGCCAGGGAAGCAGTTCTGGCCAGGGAAGCGGCCAGGGCATCGGTCAGGGAAGCGGGTATGGTCAGGGAAGCGGGCAGGGCTAAGCAAGCGGCCAGGGAAGCAGTTCTGGCCAGGGAAGCGGCCAGGGCATCGGTCAGGGAAGCGGGTATGGTCAGGGAAGCGGGCAGGGCTAAGCAAGCGGCCAGGGAAGCAGTTCTGGCCAGGGAAGCGGCCAGGGCATCGGTCAGGGAAGCGGGTATGGTCAGGGAAGCGGGCAGGGCTAAGCAAGCGGCCAGGGAAGCAGTTCTGGCCAGGGAAGCGGCCAGGGCATCGGTCAGGGAAGCGGGTATGGTCAGGGAAGCGGGCAGGGCTAAGCAAGCGGCCAGGGAAGCAGTTCTGGCCAGGGAAGCGGCCAGGGCATCGGTCAGGGAAGCGGGTATGGTCAGGGAAGCGGGCAGGGCTAAGCAAGCGGCCAGGGAAGCAGTTCTGGCCAGGGAAGCGGCCAGGGCATCGGTCAGGGAAGCGGGTATGGTCAGGGAAGCGGGCAGGGCTAAGCAAGCGGCCAGGGAAGCAGTTCTGGCCAGGGAAGCGGCCAGGGCATCGGTCAGGGAAGCGGGTATGGTCAGGGAAGCGGGCAGGGCTAAGCAAGCGGCCAGGGAAGCAGTTCTGGCCAGGGAAGCGGCCAGGGCATCGGTCAGGGAAGCGGGTATGGTCAGGGAAGCGGGCAGGGCTAAGCAAGCGGCCAGGGAAGCAGTTCTGGCCAGGGAAGCGGACAGGGCCAGGGCATCGGTCAGGGAAGCGGTTATGGTCAGGGAAGCGGACAGGGCTAAGCAAGCGGCCTGGGAAGCAGTTCTGGTCAAGGCAGTGGTTCTGGCCAGGGAAGCGGCCAGGGAAGCACACTGGGCAGTGGCCAGGGAAGCAGACGTGGCCAAGCAAGCAGTCAGGGAAGCGACCAGGAAAGCGGTTCTGGCCAGACAAGCGGACCGGGCCAGGGCATCGGCCAGGCAAGCGGTTCTGGCCAGGGAAGCGGACAGGCAAGCGGTTCTGGCCAGGGCATCGGCCAGGCAAGCGGTTCTTGCCAGGGCATCGGCCAGGCAAGCGGTTCGGGCCAGGGAAGCGGACAGGCAAGCGGTTCTGGCCAGGGCATCGGCCAGGCAAGCGGTTCTGGCCAGGGCATCGGCCAGGCAAGCGGTTCTGGCCAGGGAAGCGGACAGGGCCAGGGAAGCGGTTCTGGCCAGGGAAGCGGACGGGGCCAGGGCATCGGCCAGGCAAGCGGTTCGGGCCAGGGCATCGGCCAGGGAAGCGG